AGTGTGAGGCATGCCATCAGCTGGAGCTTGTAGGTCGTGCTTTGTCTGCCGACTCAGCAGTCTGTGCTGTCAGTTTCATTGTGAGTGCGACGTGACATGAATGTTTTATGAGGGCGGTTAAGAAAACATTGATGAAGAGCATCAAAGCTCCCCGCCATATGTGATGACTCAGATATGACTCATAATTATGATGTTACTGATGTGAACAATTAATATTTCGTGCATGGCAAATTAAACGGTAGGAGATGTTGCTCGGATGTAGGACACGGAGCTTCTGCATGGCACAAGTGAAAGGTATGAAGTCGCATAATTATATATACCACACATTAGACAAGGCAGGTATGCTCAAAAAATATATAATTTGCTCCATTTGCATATGGCGGCTGTAGTTTAAAAAAAAGGGTAAATATACTACTCAAAAGAAGTTAAGGATCACCCGATTCTTTCATATTGGTAATGTTAATCTGTCATGGCATGAGAGATTAACTATTGTTATATGAAAGAATCGGGTGATACATGTTTAAAGGGTAATTGGGAATATATATCAATTCAAAATATTGCTATGACAAGAAATATAATGAATAAGAACTTTTTTATTACATGTACACAACATTTCAGGGCCACAGGGGGCGGTCGGGTAGCCTAGTGGTTAAAGCGTTCGCTCGTCACACCGACATCTTCCCGAGGCAGGAGAGTTAACTGACATTAAAAGTCCAGTTTCCACCCTTGCCGAACTAGGCTGGAATTACTGGGCTTGATCGTAGCGCCACCAGGGGCTATTACCAGTTATGTCCCTTCTAAGCCTCTCCTATGGACCAATCAGATTCCACCTCTCGCATCACTTGCGTTTGCTTCATTCAAAATGGTGGCGCCGAGTCAGGACGATCTGATCGATAATCAAGATCTATACTGTGATAAAACGGGTCTTACATCGCGAAATGCATCAAATCACGTGAGCACCTTGATTAAAACATGAAAAGATTTGGAAAATATCTGCTGACAACGAGTTGACGGTGCACATGTTTTGCAAATCCTGCAATCGACCGAAATCTGCACGACGGTTTTCGAACCGGATTTGGATTTCGGTGCGCGATTTTGATTGGACTATGCATAGACTCGTTAGTCCAGCCAAAATGTAACTCCATAATACCAGCCTAGTTCGGCAAGGGTGGAAACTGGACTTTTATAGTCAGTTAACTCTCTTGCCTCGGGAAGATGCACGCCGAAGACCCGGGTTCGATTCCCGACATGGGTACAATGTGTGAAGCCCATTTCTGGGTTCCCCCGCCGTGATATTGCGTGAACATTGCTAAAAGCGGCGTAAAACCATACTCAATCACTCACTCAGGTCTACATCCTGTCTCTTCATCAGACACACATGGCTATCGCTTTCTTGTAATCAAACTACCCGTGTTGCGATACAACAGGTGTTCAAGTCTCCATTATTGTTTTACAGTTATGATAATAGGTACATGTACGGTGTCACGTACTTGTGAGTTGTTCACCTCGAGCTGCGACCTTGGCCTTGTGAGATATACGGTGTAATTGTTACCTGTCGAGCGGACTTCACTTGAGACAGTTGCGGTATGGTCACGTGACACGAAGTACCTCACACAATCAGTCATATTTCACCTTGAAGCACGTGCATGTTGAACACGCGACAGCGGTAGCCGACTCTCCTATTGTTTTCCGACCGCTCAGCCCAGGGCATGGTACTCACTTCGTCAACCTGTCGGGGATTTAACTATAAGGGCAGATGCACTTTATCATTGAAAATTCGTTCTAGATTGTTAGCTCACCTTGACATGGTTAAATTTTGAGTCTTCGTAAATTCTGTCTTCACACGCTACTATAAAGGACACAACAGGGTCATATTCACTTAAAATGCCCTTAAGGTGAAGGCCAAGATCACAGATGATCATACAAACAGCTTATGACCCCAATTTTATTTTGGGTTTGAAAGGATAATCGCAGTCGATTGTCTCAAGATGTGGACTTTATTGAACGTTAATTACAGGTCAGTGTAACCAGAATGCAAAGCGATTGTTAAGAAAGTGCGTCGATTAAAAAGACCAAAATGTGTTTGGCTTTGTTCTTGAAAGTTTATATATTAAACATTAATTCATTTTTGAAGCTTCTTTTTTGTTTTATGGATTTTTTAAAAATAATTTGTAAAGTACAATTCCTTTACTTTAGTACTTTCCTGGGTTAATTCAACATTTATATTGTCTGAATTATGCATAAGCATTTGGTTTCCGAAAACGTATAAAGAAGCAAGGTGAACGTTTGTCTTTGAAGATCAGAAGCATTATCAGTAATAATAATCATAATCATAATATTAATATTAATAATAGGCCATTTATATTGCACGTTTTTTTCCAACCACCCAGGGGCATGCTCGAAGCGCTATTATTACCCCGGTCACAGGATCAGTGTGCACTCGAAAATTATTCTCAGCTCCTTGCGGAGTATACAGCCCAAGCTACCTGTTAGACGCCAGAAGGTCTCTGTAGCAATTTCCCGGTCTCTGTGTGTCCATGTCCCAGTCTCTGTGTGTGTCAATGTCCCGGTCTCTGTGTGTCAATGTCCCGGTCTCTGTAGCAATTTCCCGGTCTCTGTGTGTCCATGTCCCAGTGTCTGTGTGTGTCCATGTCCCGGTCTCTGTGTGTCAATGTCCCGGTCTCTGTAGCAATTTCACGGTCTCTGTGTGTCCATGTCCCAGTCTCCGTGTGTGTCAATGTCCAGGTCTCTGTGTGTCCATGTCCCAGTCTCTGTGTGTGTCCATGTCCCGGTCTCTGTGTGTCAATGTCCCGGTCTCTGTAGCAATTTCCCGGTCTCTGTGTGTCCATGTCCCAGTCTCCGTGTGTGTCAATGTCCAGGTCTCTGTGTGTCCATGTCCCAGTCTCTGTGTGTGTCAATGTCCCGGTCTCTGTGTGTCCATGTCCCAGTCTCTGTGTGTGTCAATGTCCAGGTCTCTGTGTGTCCATGTCCCGGTCTCTGTGTGTCAATGTCCCGGTCTCTGTGTGTCAATGTCCAGGTCTCTGTGTGTCCATGTCCCGGTCTCTGTGTGTCAATGTCCCGGTCTCTGTGTGTCAATGTCCCGGTCTCTGTAGCAATTTCCCGGTCTCTGTGTGTCCATGTCCCAGTCTCCGTGTGTGTCAATGTCCAGGTCTCTGTGTGTCCATGTCCCAGTCTCTGTGTGTGTCAATGTCCCGGTCTCTGTGTGTCCATGTCCCAGTCTCTGTGTGTGTCAATGTCCAGGTCTCTGTGTGTCCATGTCCCGGTCTCTGTGTGTCAATGTCCCGGTCTCTGTGTGTCAATGTCCAGGTCTCTGTGTGTCCATGTCCCGGTCTCTGTGTGTCAATGTCCCGGTCTCTGTGTGTCAATGTCCCGGTCTCTGTGTGTCAATGTCCAGGTCTCTGTAGCAATTTCCCGGTCTATGTGTGTCCATGTCCCAGTCTCTGTGTGTCAATGCCCCGAAGTGCAGATTTTTGTCTTGGGCTTTATTTGAATATTTTTCGAACAGGTATTTGAATATTTTTCGAACGGGTATTTAAATATTTTTCCAAAAGGTATTTGAATATTTTTCCAACGGGTATTTGAATATTTTTCCAACGGGTATTTGAATATTCTTCCAACGAGTATTTGAATATTTTTTTCAACAGGTATTTGAATATTTTTCCAACAGGTATTTGAATATTTTTCCAACAGTTTATTGGGGGCTAAGGTGTATATATATGATTCAACCGTCTGGAGTACTTGACCTCCCTCGCTCCCTCCCTCGCAGTGCCCATTGTGATGCATCGTACTGGTATTAATGACATACACCCAGTACCGTCAGAACTCTAGCACAGATACAGTCAGTATGCATGTCACTGACACTGGGATAGGTTGGTATTGGTTTCATGTGTACTGAAGTTCAAAGCGTATACTGTTCAATGACTATGCACATTTCCTTGCAAATAAAACCTTTAAGGTTTAAACAGCAGACCTGTAAGGGAAATTTGTGTCCGTGTGATATTTATTCGTTTGTGAGGAAATTTGTGTCCGTGGTCGAGGGGAAATAGTGTCCATGTAAAAGAAGAATGTGTCGTGTAAGAGGGGAATGTGTCGTGTGAGGCGAATGTGTCGTGTAAGAGGGGAATGTGTCGTGTTTGAGGGGAATGTGTCGTGTAAGAGGGGAATGTGTCGTGTGTGAGGGGAATGTGTCCATGTAAGAGGGGAATGTGTCGTGTGTGAGGGGAATGTGTCGTGTGTGAGAGGAATTTGTCGTGTGTGAGGGGAATGTGTTTGAGGGGAATGTGTCGTGTTTGAGAGGAATGTGTCGTGTGTTAGGGGAATGTGTCCATACGTGAGGGGAATGTGTCTGTGTGTGAGGGGAATGTGTCGTGTGTGAGAGGAATGTGTCTGTGTGTGAGAGGAATGTGTCCATATGTGAGGGGAATGTGTCTGTGTGTGAGAGGAATGTGTCGTGTGTGAGGGGAATGTGTCCGTGTGTGGGGAATGTGTCGTGTGTGAGGGGAATGTGTCCATATGTGAGGGGAATGTGTCTGTGTGTGAGGGGAATGTGTCGTGTGTGAGGGGAATGTGTCGTGTGTAAGGGGAATGTGTGCGTGTGTGAGGGGATTGTGTCTGTGTGTGAGGGGAATGTGTCCATATGTGAGAGATATATGTCGGCGTTTGAGACGAAATGCTGACACAACACACCACATGACGCTTCTCAACATGTAGGGCCGTTTACGTCACCCCGGGGCCGCATGGTTGACTATAAATGAATTGAAGAAAAATAATAGTTCACCGTGTACTCAGCTTGCACTTCTAGAGCAGCACACAATATACGTGGGAATGCTACCTTCTGTTTTGGGTGTCGGGTTAACCCAGTTCGTCCACTCTTGACCTTTGCTTGGACTTAAACGTTAGGGTTTGACCCTTAAAGACAAGATGCCAAGCAGGTGACAAGATGATTTATTACTATAACATTTATCCATGTTATTTTGCAGGAACCTGTCTACGACATTACGACTCCGAAAAGGACATGACGTTTGGATGACCGCACCTACAAATCTCGTTTAAACGAGATTTGAATTTTTCCCGTTCGAAGTCTCGGTTAAATGAGATTTGAGCCCTTTCACTCTCCAGTTGTCCCATGTGAGCGGATATCTCGTTGAAGCTATATAACGTTAAAGTGAAGAGGTCGGTAGACAAGGAGACAAAATGCCAAGTAAAGAGAAAAAAAACGGTCTACAAAATGGCCAGGATGAATACATGGCGTCTACAAATGAAGTTGATGCGTATATTCCCACACCGCCGGACGGAGGATGGGGCTGGGTGATCGTCGCCGCGTCTCTCGTCTGCAACATCATCGTGGACGGCATCGGGTACACGTTTGGTATATTCTTGTTGGAGTTCACAACATTCTTCAAGGAGTCCAAGAGTAAAGTGGCGCTGGTTGGTTCTGTCCAGGTTGGAACCTACTTGTGCGTAGGTAGGTACGGGGCAACCTGCGTCTTATACTCCATGTGTTCCAAACATAAGCCTAGATTTCAGGGTAAGGGAGGCGCTCAGTGTCGCAAACATGTGATCAGACATGACGTCATTGGAATAGTGTTCGAGTGAGTGAATTGGGTTTAACGCCGATTTTAACAATATTACAGTTTATCGCGGCGTGTCGGCTTAATGTGGGAGGAAAGCCCGAAGTGATGCAGGTCTCAGACGTTTATCACTTCGGTGAAACCCACGAGCACGGGTATGGTGCTGACAAACCTAGAAACATAATCGGGGCGAACAGGGATTCGAACCCACAATCATAGGTTTCTGGCGTGCCCAAGGGACGCACCTCTGCACAGCGAATCGCGGCGCCTTAGACGACTGGGCCACCCGTACCCCACCATAGGAATAGATTGTCATTGGATGCTACCACTGTAACCATTTCCGGACATCAGTTGTCTTTTGGTCTTTGGTACTCTGTCGTAAGACTTGACAGAGTTCGGATCTAATGATCCCAATGTCTAAGTACGAATAGTATTTGTAGACTATTTTTAGATTGTTATTAAATTACCACCTGGTAGTTACTACGATGTCAAAGAACGTACCGTATTTCCTCTATTAGAGGCCCGGGCTTCTATTTATTTCGGACAAGCCTTTGACCCGGCGTCTATTGGAGGCCCGGCTTCTATTGATACCCCTATTTCACTATGACCACGAATGAAAGGGATCATTAATTGATCGACCCGGCGTCTATTAGAGGCCCGGTGTCTATTTTTTGCACGGAACAATTGACCCGGCTTCTATGAGAGGATATACGGTACATGCCTTGTTTTTGAGACAAATGTAAACTAAACGTTTGCCATGCGTTGGTATTCCGGTAATAGAGTGAGTATGGTTTTACGCCGCTTTTAGCAATATTCCAGCAATATCACGGCGGGGGACACAAGAAATGGGCTTCACACATTGTACCCATGTTGGGAATCGAAAGCGGGCCTTTGGCGTGACGAGCGAACGCTAACCACTAGGCTACCCGACCGCCCCATTCCGGGTTAAGAACTGATCCCCAGCAACATATGCTTGAAGTTCAAGGCCGCTAAATGGATCAGCGGTAATGTCTGTTGAATGGGCTCCCTGGTCGAGACTCCATTATTTTCAGACGCCACGATTTATCAGATAATTAGACATTTGTATCGAACCTTGCTTGCTAGACTAGATACGCCCCAGTTGACTAGCTCTAGCTCTAGCTCTGATTTGATCACATGTCATAATATCATTAAACTATTTTTTTTAAAAAAGCATTAACCAATCAGATTATTTTTTTTCATTCTAGGGCCAATCGTTAGCGCCCTTACAAACAAGTTCGGATGTCGGCCCGTGTGCATGGCCGGCAGTGTCATAGCAACCATAGGCTTCGCCGTCAGCACATTCTCTCCAAATGTGGAAATCCTGATTCTCACTTACGGCGTCATTGGAGGTAAGTTGGCATGCACTTTACATGCGGAGCGGCGAATACGTGACCCCGCGAACACGGAAGTAGCGAATGGCTTGACATCTAACCTAGGCCTGAAACTTACTCTCCTTGTCTATGATGTCATACTTGAGATGACGTCATATTGTCATGACGTCATGTTTATTTGATGCCCGTGTTATTCTTGTATTTCGTACGTGTTGCGTCCTTTAGTACCTCATTGACAATTTGATATTGATATTTGATATAGAGGATATTCAAAGTGTCGAGTGACGGGGGAAAATTTTCTTGAAAATATCTCCTTTCCCACCGTCACTCGTTGAGAAAAAACATTATATTTCACAAGACACATGGAATATCCTATTTATTATATACTTTTTGTGTAGTTGTCTGCCGGAGAATTAAATAGTTCATTACAAATATAAAACCTTGAAACGTAAATTCTCCCTACCTAACACACATGGACGGTTCACTACTCCTTGTATTTGCAACGTAAAAAGTACTTTCGTGTTTGCAAAATCTTAAAAAATGAGACCGCTCTTGGAAGCGAAAGAATACACGCTGATAAAGTAACAAAAATAGCACTTTGGGAAACAAACAGTCTCGATTGACGAGTTAAATGATAAATTTACAGTTTATAACAAAACATTTTCAAGAGAATAACAAACGATGAGAAGCGATATTAACTCCATGAATGACTATCTGTCATTATTTTCCCTTGTTAAAGTGGAACTAACGTCAAATTGACGTCAACAGTTTGTGTTCGGGCTAAACGCTAGATAAAGGGAGACCATTTGAGGGGAGGTAATTCTTGTATGACAATAGTTCCGTCAAAGTGTTATGTTCATTGCAACGAGTAGTCGTAAGTAAGTGTGGTGTTTCGCCGCTTTTAGCAATATTCCAGCAATATCACTGCGGGGGACACCAGAAATGGTACACCACATTGTACCCATGTCGGGATTCGAACCCAGGTCTTCGGCGCGACGAACGAACGCTTTAACCTCTAGGATACCCGACCGCCCCTCACTGCAAGGAAAATATCACCTCTCTCAACTTCGGAAAACCCAGCCTTTCACACTGAAGTATATGATAAATATGTTTTTTTTAATTAAAACAAATTTTTTTAAAGTATTTTTTATTTAAATCACCTGACAACAATGTATTTTATGTGGCTCATAAGTTTTCAAGTCTGAAGCATCATTATCTCTTTAAAGCCTTTTCGGGGACAAGTTTTTATTTCCGAGAGAATCGTGAATAATTTAGACGTGCCATACTACGTGGTTACCACCACATTAATTGAATATTATGTTCGAAATATATTTGGATTCATAGCATTTTATGTCTGGCTGTGTTGGTGTTGTTTCAGGGTTCGGTTTCGGCATGATGTACCTTCCCGCCATCGTTAGTGTGGGGTTCTACTTCGAGAAGAAGCGAGCCATTGCTACTGGTATCGGCGTGTGCGGGTCGGGAGTTGGGATGTTCATATTCGCCCCATTCTCTCGCTACTTACTCGACACCCTAGAGTGGAAGAGCGCGCTTCTAATCCTATCAGGAATTGTTTTTAACGGCATGGTGTGCGGCATGTTGATGCGCCCCCTGGCGGCGCCAGGTAAGAAGAAACCCAAGGAGAACGTGACTGATATGATTTCTAAATCAAAGCCTATCGTGAAAAATAAATTCTTAGTCTTGGACTCCGCTAAGCCAACAAGTGGCGCAGCTTACTCCTCGGTTCCAAATATGGCAATGCATTCAACCCGCACAGAAGACAATTCCACATCAAAGAGTAAGGACAAACCTATTGATGCTTCCAAATACATAGCATCTATCCCTGATGACGATTTGGACAGGGCGGAAGTGGAACCTCTTGTCCAAAAAATTGGATTTTTGGACGTGGAGGACAGGATTCACCAAAGCAGCCCCCGTCGTGCTCACGACTTAACATTTATATCCGAAGCCAACTTAAACAAGATCAAGACGGACCTGTCTCGCCCGATGTACCGGAAGGACATCTTCTACAGCGGCAGCATTATGAACATCCAACAGTTCAAGTCGCAGCCGGACATGAAAGACTACATCCGCAGCGTGACGAGCATACCCAGCATGCACATGGAGAAGACGTGCTTCACGTGCGAGTGGATACCCAAACCTGCACGTGACACGCTGTCTGAGATGCTTGACGTCAAGCTCCTGAAGAACCCAACCTTCCTCCTCATCTGTTTCGGCAACGTCTTGGCGATGTTGGGCTTCTACGTACCCTTCGTCTACATCGTGGACCGCGCTATCTCGCTGGAGATCGACGAATCGAAGGCAGCTTTTCTTCTGTCCATCATAGGTACGTCTCAACACTAGGCATTGAACCCGTGAAGATCCGGGGTAGAATAGGTCTTCAGCAACCCATGTTTGCCGTTAAAGGCGACTATGCTTGGCGTAAGAGGCGACTAACGGGATCGGGTGGTCGGGCTCGCTGACTTGGTTGATGCATGTCATCGTATCTCAATTGCGTGGATCGATGCTCATGATATTAATCACTGGATTGTCTGATCCAGACTCGATTATTTACAGACCGCCATCATACAGCTGGAATATTGCTGAGTGCGACGTTAAACAACAAACAAACAAACAACATATAATGACAACAATATCAATCTGTAATGTCCAAAAATATATACCAATTGCGCCGATAATTGACAAGGCGTTCATATCGATACAGTTTATTTATTTTGATGGCTTGTGATAAATTTCATCACGCTCAGAACGTACCTAAACCATTCAGCCATACTCACATAACGATCTGTTATCTGATTGGCAGACTTTTGGAGAACCCACAAAATATCGGATCAGGTCGTGCTTGTAGGTCTGGAACAAGGACCGAACATCTGGTTTGCTTTGTGAAATAGTCCGACAAGAGTTGCTTCCCCTTAGCCATTCAGTTTGTCATCAGCCTCCCCCCTGCCTAGTTATATAAGGTTGTCCCATGTTTCATATTTATTTTTGTTTTAAATTCGGCATTCAACAGCCAGTCCACACACATGTATGCGTAGATTCGCCTTAAAGCAGCATTTGGATAGCCCTGTGGCGCACGAGGAAACTCTCTTATCGTGGGATGTCCCAGTTTCATCAACATTGTAAGCGACAGACATCAACATCATTTCGGGCTTTCCTCCCACATTCACCTCATATCACTCACTCACTCACTCACTCACCCACTCACCCACTCACTCATTCACTCACTCACTCACCCACTCACCCACTCACTCACTCACCCACTCACTCACTCACTTACTCACTCACTCACTCACTCACTTACTCACTCACTCACTCACTCATGGGGATACAGCGTCTGCTCGGAGAGCGGAAGGTCGGTGGTTCGATAGCGACAGACATCAACATCATTTTGGGCTTTCCTCCCACATTCAGCTCATATCACTCACTCACTCACCCACTCACCCACTCACTCACTCACTCACTCACTCACTCACTCACTCACTCACCCACTCATTCACTCACCCACTCACTCACTCACTCACCCACTCACCCACTCACTCACTCACTCACTCACTCACTTACTCACTCACCCACTCACCCACCCACT